TCCTGCTTATGCAGGGGGTCGGACTCGATGATCTATTGAGGTCCCTTCCGACCCTAACATCTATGAATCTATGAATCTATAAATTAAATAGTGGTGATCCTGAATTAAATAATATATTTCACTTTAGGTCAACTCCAAAAAAAGGACGTAAGTACTTAAAGACTTGGAATACTAGTCTAGATACTAGCTAGATACTATTTTATTGCTTAAAGTTACTACTTGGAAAGCAGGTGCTTAAAACATCTCCATGCTACTTTGGGCCCTACAGCTGCTTGAAAGAGGTGGCACCCAGGGAAAGTACTCAACTGCCAGATGGTGCATTCTGCCTAGCTTCAGATGCTGAGAGTCCTCAAGTTCAGTGCGCTTTAGATGTCATTTAAAATGGAATTAAAAACAGTAGCATGGAAATTACCCTGCAGGATACCACTCTCTACTTTTCCATTTTTCCATGGATATGATTCAGTAGCTTAGGAAATATAGTGAGCTTTTTACTTGATTTCCACTGGTTTTGGATTAGTTCTTTGATTCTCAATCCTTATTTCTACTTACTTAAGGGCTGCAGCAAAATTACATGTGTAGCCCTGTCTTCATTATCTCAGGCAACGGGAACTCTTATTTTCCTCTCCTCAGCATGAGACCTCTCTCCAGTGCTGAAAACTTTTTTCCCCATGACAAATGGACAAGGAGTTTCCTTGCATCTCTTGCATATCTCTTTGAATAATTGTTTTAATTTCAAATTCTCCATGTATTTTTACTCTTTTTTACTCTTTTGAATATCTTGGCTAAAAGGTGGGACAGGATGTTCACATTTGAGCCACAACCAAAATAGAAACAGGCTAGGAATGACTCTGCTCAAGAATTTCAGCATGCCCCCTCTTGAAATCTTCCCTATTCATATCCGAGGAACACCCACGGTCTAGTAGGCACCTCTGAGTTGTGGAAACAGAGAAAATCCAGAGACAGTTTACCCACGATTTTCTTTGTTAATATAAAGGAAGCAGTTGTGTCTCTTTAGGTTGAGTCTGGAATTATGCTGTGCAATTATAGCTCAATAAATTCATCAGTTAATTAAAATGAATAATAGCTTCAGCCTATTTTACATAACTTGAATAGGCTTCAATTATGTGTGTTCATTTTCTAAAATTCAATAGTTCTAAAGGATGTTTTAGTTACAGTAGAGGTGAGCCAGATATGTAGTGACTAGATTCAGGCTCACAATTAGAGCCGGGGACAGAGTTGAGGTAGAACCAGGTTCAGGGCTCAGATTCAACTGTGCCAAATCTCACAAATTCTTACCCAAGTGGTGGCATCTCATGACATTAACTGACCTTGCAATATTGCTGCTGGCAGGCATCTCGTGAGAGCAGCTGTCACATCTGTCACAGATGCTGCTGTCTGCAAGACAATCTATCTGCAATCAGACTAACACTGAAAAATAATCCCATCCTGGGATAACCTGGGACCAGATCCATTACGCCATCGGTATTTGGGAATTTGGACCCAGAAATTCAAATATAGGAAAATGGGGTCTCCCTAATATGTAAAGGGGTCTGATTCCAGGGTCAGGTTCTGTATTAGGAAGCAAGTGTTTCAGAGGCCCAGTTATCTTGGATATAAACCTTTTAGCAAGCGACATACAGTGCCACACATTGTCAAAATGTAACATTTAATCTATAGTCACATATTTTAATTAGTGTTCAAGAATAAAAGACAAAGAGAAATACCCCTAATTAATCCCTATTGTCATTTTCCACTGTGGGTGTGAACGGCATATTCTTAACAGCTGAGTGGGATCTTAAAGCAGCTGTTAACCTGACATCCACTTGCGGATGGAAAAAATTCCTCTCGGTAACATTGCTGCTTGTGTGCATTATACAGGCTGAAAAATATGCTATCTTGCTCTTTAGGAGTGATAATGGGCCTCTGGGTCTCCCTTGGTAAATTAGGCAGAGCTCTTTCTCAGGTCATTAAAAGGCTATGTAATGAAGTAAATGTTTCAACACCCCTTAAAATGATATTACAGTACATCGCTCAGGTTTGGGATCCTCCAGCTTTGTACCTCCACTCTTCTATGAAGTCTTCCTCAGGCGTGTTTCTCTGTTGTGATAGTAAAGGACTCCCACTGGCATTATGGAAGTCATTATGACGGTTCCTGTCAAAGATGCCACACAAACCTCTGGTGCTGTTAAAATCGATGCTTGGTGCCCTCACTGTCAAACTCATTCCCCACTCACTTACATCAGCTCGAACAAATGCTCCTGAGGGGAACATGATCTGAAGAAGCAGAAAAACCCAGTGAAATGAATCTATTAGCAAGTTTCTTTTGTAATAAAATAGTGTTCCCTCTGATAAACAAAGGAAGTTGGCTACTTTAATGGTAATTATAAGTCCCACAGACACGCTGTCAATGTTTATTCACAGGATTGTTTAGATGCTGTCTTTTTTTTTTGGTACTAATATCTGATGGCATCCTGTACATCCACACAAGTGCTTTCTTTTTAAAATTAATAATTATATATTCACTGAAGTTTCCCCACCAATAAGTTACCAGCTAATTTTTGAAGCAGCCACCATGACAATAAGACCACCCTTGTATCTTTGCTGCAGAAATTGTTTCTTTTAGATAAATTGCCAGGTCTGAAAAACAGCTTCCTTCTCTCTGAAAAATCGTTTCATTTTCCAAGGCTAGATTACACAGAAAATGTGGTGTTTTAAAGTGGATAAAGCAATTTTCTCATTAAAGAACTGGTGGCAGGCTTATGTTGACCTTTAAAAAAAAAATCTTGAGGCTTCAAAGGAACAAAAGAAGGCTGTGCAAAGAAGGGGCTTTTCAGGTTGGTGGCTGAACTGAAAATTAAAAAAATATAAAGGCGGCTTGAGGTGACCCAAAATAAGTTTTTTTGTTTTTTTCTTTTCCCTCAGTTAAAGGAAGAAAATGAAAAATGTTGCTTTACACCAAGCCAAATGCTTCGTTTGAGGTAAGATAAACATGTTCTTTTGCTTTTCCATTACTGAACCCTTCCCACCCTCCCTTGGTTAAGCGTAGGTCCATTTCAATCCAAACACGTTTTGGAAACAAAGATGTTGAGATTAAATATTTTGACTTTTCTGATTTTTATCTCTTTTTCAATCAAGACTATGACAAATTATCATTCTCACCCTCCTATACCCAGTCCAAATATTGTATTTATTGGTACATTTATTATTCATGCAAAACTTCTAGGTCTGTGAAAAAAAATAGCTATTAAACTTACTTTTCAGTGTCAGAAATCTGGGTTCAAATTCTGACTCTAGTCATCAGAAATTTGACTCAGGCTGCAAATAGATGTCACCTTTGTGCTACCATAAATTTTTTTTTTATGGCAGCACAGTGAAAATAAACAGGCCTCCATGTTCTTCTCATGTCACAAATGCCCAAATTTCTGGCTGTGACCAAAGGCAATGGCTTTCATTTCGCATAGAGGTTGTGGACCTCTTTGTCTCAAAGCAGGAGAGCGCAGGCAACCTGGAGCTGACTGCTCTCCAGCAACCCTGGGCAGGTGCTTCCAGAGTTTCAGAAACCTGATCTGGTGGGCCTCGGGAGTTTCCCTGCAGGAGCGCCTGCCTATATTTCTTCATTTGCAGAGGTATGATCTGAATCACAGTCCGTGGGCACACCTTTTCAAGTGGGGAACACTGGCTTTACCCTTTTGCAGAGACATGCCCTGACTGTTGCCTTACAGAATTAGGCCTCTGAAACCCTGGCAGCAGCGGGGGCCCAACCCCATAGGACAACAGGTAATGTCTGGTTTAACCAATGAAGTGGCACAGCTCATCCGCTTCATTTGGAGACTTTTGTTTATAGCCTTATAGTTATAGTTTCAGAAGTTACAAGAGTGATCTTTGAGTGACTGTGTCCTGCGATACTCAAGTAGAGAGATTTTGGGTTTGGTTTTTCAGACATACTGAGCACTTGCAGCCCCTCCTAGTTTCCAATGGTATTGTGGATGCTCAGTATTTCTGAGACTCCAGTTCAATGCATTTCAAGCTCAGTACCTAAAATCAGTATCCACTTTTGCAAATTGTGGCCTTAGCCAATAGTGGAAATTATCGACATCACATAATCAGCTCATAGTTTGGCTCATGATTTCTTTTCTCCTTAAGGTGCTGTTTTTTCCCCCTTGAAGTCAATAATAGAAGTCATTGAGGAGTAGGGCACAAGAGAGGCCCGAACTACATTATAATGGGGTGTAGCAGATTAAGGTTGAGGCCTGAACTACATTATAATGGGGTGCAGCGGATTAAGGTTGAGACAAACTAATGGAATGGCAGGAGAGTGTTTACACAGTGTCCATATAGCAAACCTGCTTGAGTAACTCAAATTTATTCCATTGAGTAAAATGGACAGGATTTAGTTAATCCATGCCTAGTTTGGTTAAACCATCCCTAGTTAGTCTCTTACATTCATAGAAAAGTAATTAAAAAGGAAAGACATGTTTAAGAAGTTTATTTTCTTAGTGTGACACAACTAAATGATAAAATGACTTGCTATACTAGAATCTTGCTTGTAAATTAATATTTCCTTAATTTTTAATTTGTGTCCAGGGCAGCTGTTAATCAAAGCTTCTATGCTAGTTACCTCCTTGAACCTCCTAGAAGCTGTTAACAGCTTTCTTGGGCATGTCTATACTCCTCCAGACTATTAGGGATTGCCATAATGATATGCACATGTCATCCATGTACAATATATCCCAAACTGGAAATAGTGTAGTCACCTTAGTGCAATTTCAGGCATCTGGGTGCTAACATTCTCTCCTAGTGCTATATTGAGGCAGCTTGTACACAACCTTTGTTTAAATCCCTTTCAAGGATATCATAAGTGTATATGCATGTAGTGTTCTGCAATATTAGAACTAAATTGTACCCTAACTTGTGTGCCATGGGTCCAAACTCCATTTGATTTTAAACTCCAGTGGAATCAATGGGATACCCCAATGATGTGGCTCTATTCCAGAAGTCAAAGGAAGTGACTTGCACAGATATCAGAATATCTTTTGATATTTTTAATACAGATTTTTCCAGCTAAAATCAGGGATACTGTACTCAGTTGTAAAATGAAGTAAAAGCTGTTTTCCTGCTTTTGGTTCCATTTGTGTAATTAAAAGCTTTCAATTGCTACGTCATCAAGAACTGCTCCAGATGAGAGCCAAACAAAAAATTCCCTGATATAATTTTGGCTTCTTATGGCTCTCTTCTCACCCAAAATATTTTCTGGAAGAAATATTGATAATGCAGCCTTAATACTAAATTATTTTCCTAGATCCCTACTATGGCACTTATCCTCCAGGCAGCTCTCTAATACTGCCTGAACTTGCTCTTCTAGTGTCTATAAGGAACACACTCAGGATTTCAGATTTGTAACATGGATAAAAGCTACTCAGTGCAGACTGGAGAGTACATTTATGCCTATCCCCTTTTCCAGCAAGTATTCTTGCTAAGGGAAGTCCATTGCAGGGCCATATTGAATGTGTTTAAAGAATATACGGAAATAATCTATGATCACTGCTTAGTAAAATCACCACTATTACCTACTTGTTGGTCTCTACTACACCTGTCTACATGAGAAGATCTACCCAACACAATGCAGTCCCCACAAAGTTACTCAATTAGCTCTTTGATTATGAGCGTTTCAACTTTGACTTCAGATTTTTCAGAATCTTTGTTGTACATGTGAAAAGTGTTCAGTGGAAAGGATGGGAAAAGGGGAAGGCAGTTGTCTTTTGTATCACTGTGATACAAGTAATACATATTAGTTTTGTCTTAGGTATGTGTCTGAGCAGTATTGTTTTGTTTTGTTGTACATACGGTTAAATTAACTCTTTAACTAGTACTTTCCCTTAGGCTGTTTTTTTTTTGTTTGTTTGTTTGTTTTTTTGCTGTGAGTACCCTTATGGCTATGGGGAGACAGGGATTATACACTAATAATACATGAAAGGGAAATCAACATTTTCAAAAGAAAAGAAATGTGAAGATCCACCTACAGTAATTTTTCTCTCTCCATACGACTTCAGGATTTTGACGCGTGGCGATGCTTCAGTGCTTTTAATGGATAGCTGAGGTCTGGTTTCATGAAACTGACCATTACACATATCCAGAACAACGATGTCATTAGCTTCCCATGCAGCTACGCCGCAGTTGCAGGCAACAGCATGATGGTGACTTCCGCAGTCCCACTGACGGACATGTATCTCAAACACACGGGCCAGGCTCTTGGACAAAATGAAGGTTCCAATTTTATAATTATCATAATGCCTAAACAACAATAAACAGAAACAGGATTTTGAGACCCAGGGTATACACCTATGATGACTGTTTGTTTGTACTCTAATAACAACACTCCTTAATTAGGACAGCATGGTGGTGGCCCTGGAAGAGAAAGAAAATCAACACATGGGGAAGCATTTATTCAGTACCAGAAGCAAGCTAACACCACTAGAGTTATTAGCTGGAAGTGTACAAGAATTCATGTGAGAAGCTGGTAGCTAAGAGTGGCTGCTATGGCAACAGGCATGGATAAAAAGGATAAACATTTGATAAAAGCAAATGGGGAAAAAATCCCTGCCTCCAGGCCTTAATAAATATGTTTTGGTTCTAACTGGGTGCTTTACAGCATGATATTCTTCAATGCAAAATCAGTGCTCAAATAACACCTTCTGTGACTAATCACTACATTTTTACAAGGCTGACTGTGGCTAGGTGAATATTTCATATGAAAAATTAAGATTCAATTGGAAGCCTGTTAAAGTGAAATCATTTCCCCCCTTTCAGAACAACTTCACTATAACATAAGTTTCAGTATAACTGGATTTGCAATTGGTACATTGCAGCATCAAACAATTTGGAACTTTCACTCTAGTCTGTTACAAATAGAGTTTCATTCCATCTGAATTCACTGTGGGATTAATTCTGTACTTGATACCCAATTTGTGTTATTCAGGCAAAATTCCTGTAGACTGAACAATGAATTTTGCTTGAGTAGTGACTGCAGGGCTTACAAGGGATCCTTTTTTACTTCCAAAATACCTGCTTTTTCTAACATTTTAATCACTTATTACTGTTAGTCTCATTTTACTCCAAAAACTTTAGGGGTATAACTAGAAGAAAGAGTAGTTGCATGATTTATGGAGTTATTGAGGGATTTCCTTCTGTAGGCCGGTTGCCTGCCATGCTTAGAAACAGCTTCCTTTTAAGCAGCTACATTTATTTTTAAAATACAGGGTTTTTTTTTAGGAAATTTCATTCAATAGAAAATAAACTCTTATTTTTCTTTTTATCTGACTATTTACTATAATGTAAGGAAAATGTGAAAATAATTTCAAACAATGAAAACAAAAAACAGGAAGTTTTAAGAAAAGCATTCTGTTTACTGTTTTCTTTCTTAATTCATTTTTTATTTTTCCGCTATTCCAGAGAAGCAAATAGGCTTTTCTGCATACATGCTGAAACCAGAATAAGGTTTTTTCATATATATATATATATATATATA